CTCTTCAGCTCTGGACGTGAAGGATTTTTTCCCCGTCTTTTAATTTGTCATTCCTCCTGTGTAACTTGGGAAAAACATAAAAATACCATCAGACTCTTGTGCTGATTTTGTTTGAAGAATACTTCAACCAAAAATGTTATTTTTTTCTTATAAAGTACACTGTATGACGTTTTGTGATTTTGTTTCCCCTGTCCTGTCTGTGTTTATTGGTGAGGTGACAACAGCATGTCCTGATGAGACTGTCGAGATAACCATGTACTCGTGGGTCTTAGTTTTGACCWGAACATATTTTGTGTCACTACCCTTCAGGCTGCAGAACTGGCCGAGTACACCACTAAGATCAGCATCCTGGAGGAGGCAAAGAAAGCAAAGGAAGAAGAAGCTGAGACATGGCACACCAAGGTTAGTTTCTAACGTCACATTAAAGATGAAGACAAGGAAGTTACCTTTAGACCAGATGATGGGCTTTGTTCTTCATTTTTCTGTCTTTAAGAGTCATATTCCAGAGTCACTTAACCATGATTAACAGATCCAGAAACAGCTTGACTTGTTCTTCAACTGCTCCTAAAATTCTAGCGTCGTGACTTTTAGGATTGTATCTTTGCTAAATGTAACCACGTCCTGGTTAACCCTAACATCCATGTTAATGTTTCTCTTCTTTCAGGCTATGGAAGTGGAGGAAAACCTGATAAAGACAAAAGAGGAGCTGCAGAGTGTGATGAGCCCCGCCAACTCGGCTCCCACAGCTGGGTCCTCCTCCTCCTCCTCCTCCTCCTCAGACAACGAAAGTGACCACGAGCACAGCGAAGAGAACAGCACCTACAGCGCCGAGCTGCAGACGCAGGGCATCGACCACCGCCAGGAGGAGGAGAGACTTACCGAGGCCGAGAAGAACGAGCGCCTGAAGAGACAGCTGATGGTGAGTTTCAGCAGAGGGAAGGAGGGGGGACAGGTCTCAGACAAAGTTTTCAGCTCATTCCAACTGAATTTTTTTTGGAACATTCGTTCTTTTTCTAAATATTTATTTAACTTAGAAAATGTTTAAAATATTTTGAAGTCTATTCAATTCCTTTATTGTTATTTGAAATCTACAGAGAACAGCATTTTAAGGTACTTTTAGATTTTAACTAGTCTTTAGCCTTTGTTAGCTTTGAGTTAGGCTTTTATTACAGCCTTTAAATATTGTTTTGCTACTTCTGGTAAGCATTTTACTTGTTCTAGATAGCATTTTGCTCCTTTTAAGTTTTAGGTGTTTTGTTAACATTGGATTTTAGTTAGCATTTTATCTTTTTTTGTACTTTTAGCTTTTAGATATCCATTACATTTTAATTAGTGTTTTACTACTTTAAACTTTAGGTTTTGCTACTTTAAACTCTTAGCTTACATTTTGGTTCTCTTTTCTTTTGGCTAGTATTTTCTCCTTTTAGCTAGTGTTCGGCTTCTTTTAGCTTTTTCAACTCAGTTTCAAGTTCTTCAGCAAATTCCCAATTAACAGCTCTTCATTAGACAAATTTTTGTCATATAAAATTTTTTTTAACAACCCATGTGCACAATTAAAGTTTATTACTTTGTTTTGTAGCAGTAATAAAACAAAAATGTTCCAGTTTTAACATTAAAATATGTTAAAACTGTATTTTTCGGAAAGTTTTTCTTTTATAAATTGTTGCCTCCCCATGATTTAAACACTAAACCTGCCTCGTTCACAGGACCTGAGCTCAGATCTGGCATACGCCCGAGATGACAGTAAGAAGACCCAGTATGACATGCTGCACGCTGAGAACGTCCGAGCTGGACGCGACAAGTACAAGACCCTGAAGCAGATCCGTCTGGGCAACACCAAGCAGAGAATCGATGAGTTTGAGGCTTTGTAGGAACCAATAAAAGACCTGAAGACATCTGTCCCAATACCCTGATAAGGATCTGTTCAGCATGGTAACAGGCAGATGTTGAAGAACTGAAGACAGTGCCTCTGTGCATTTGGTTGGTTATATGTAAAACATTTCTTGTGTTTATTTTCATTCAAATGTAATTCTGGATGACGATGTGTTTGTCAGTCTGATAACCAGCTGTAACGTCCAAATGAAGCTGGCATGAGGACAGAACAGGAAACATCTGTGGTGTTAAAAGTTGTCATTTTGATTAGCAGTTTTATTGTGACATCAAACAGAAGTGACTCCATTTAGATTTATTTAATAAAAACCCATCGTGCTGCAAACTGCCGATTCTTTGACTTCGTTGTGTTTTGTTGGACTGACATTCTTAAAGCAAAACAAGAAGATTTTGGTGACACATCATGGAGCAGAAAAACCTTACTAAAATACTTAAGATCGTGTTTTAAAATGCTCCACACMCTCTAAAATTGAAATKTTGGWYTTACTTAACCATGTTATGTTACCTGGTTCCACTTAACTGAGTTGARTAAATTCAAAGCAACACACTCATGTTCTTTGGYTAAAAAACTGGTATATTGCTTTGAATTTACTCAACTCAGTTACAGTAAGTGGAACCAGATAACATAACATGGTTAAGTAAATCCAACATTTCATTTTTTACAGTGCATGCCTGGAGAATTGTCACATTTGTCATTGTCACATTTAATGGATGCAGCTGATGTTTCATCCAGCATTTTTTTTAAGAACAGAAAATGTCTCTTCTACTAATAAAACTACTCATCCATTTTGGTGAAGAGTTGTTCTTGAAAATCCATCCACAACCTTCTGCTTGTTACGGAGTCAGAACAAGGGAAGCGCAGACTTGTTTTTCCTCAGCCACTTCTTCCAAGTCCTCTGGGAGGACTCTGAGGTGGCCAGCCTTGATAGTCTCTCCAGTGTGTCCTGGGTCTTTCCTGGGTTCTCCGACGAGTCAAGCATGCTCTGAAAACCTGAGGCGTCAGGGGGAATCTATACCAGATGCTCGAACCACCTCAACTGGCTCCTCTGGATGTGGAGGAGCAGCAGCTCTACTCTGAGTCTCTCCTAGATAAATGAACTTCTCACCGTCTCTATCCAGCTACCCTGCGGAAAAAACTTGTTTTGAACACCTGTAACCACGAACTTGTTTGTTTGGTCACTACCTAAAGTTGGTGGCCGTAGGTGAGGGTATAGGAGAGTGGACGGTAAACAGAGAGCTTTGCCTTACAGCTCAGCTCCCTCTTCACCACAACAGACCGGTACAGGATTTACAAAACTGTGGAAGCTGCACCGATCCATCTCCCGCTCCATTCTTTCCTCACTTGTGAACAAAACCCTGAGATATTTAAAATCCTCCAATTGAGGCAGAACCTCCTCCTCCAACCTGGAGAGAGCAATCCACACTTTCTGAATCTTAACTGAATCTGTGGCAGGGAAAATGAAGTACCCAAAAAGCAATCCTTTAATAACTGTTGTTTTATGTTGTTTGTGTAACTCATATGCACAGACCCATTGAAACATGATGCCACCCACAATAAATTTTAAATCTAGATCCACAAGAGTGCCTAGAGAAAAACAAGATGTTTCATTGTTTTAAGTGGCAGCTGTCCTAAAATATTGTACAGAATAGTGAGTTGCTTTTTTTTTTCACTGTAAGTGGAAAATGTCATTTCAGGTAGTTTTGCGTCACTGTAGTGCTGCAGCAGGAAGTGGTTTGTTTCTGACAGAAGGTGCACATGCTCACTGTGAAGATGATGTGCCTGATAAATATTTGCACTATAAAACAGTGGTTATCATCAGGTTACAACTTGTGGAGTCAGTAAACAGAGACGGTTTGAACATCTGCTACATGTAAATATTCTTCTTAAMTAAAGACAGTCTTCCTCTAAAGAATGCACATCACTCTCCACCTCTCAGATTAGGGTTTGAAACTGAGCTCATCTTGAGAAGATACTGAGCTTTGGTCAAATCTTCAAAATTTCATGTAATGTTGCAAATTCTCATATCTGTGAGTTGACTGGAAACCATTGGAAACTGGATTGACTCCAACAGTTAATCATTTGTATGTACTTCCAATGACTGCATTCTGAGAGTTTCATTAAAACCCATCCTGTGCTTTTATGATATAATTTGCTAACAGATGGACAAACTTGATTACAACAGCTTATGGCAACAGATAAAGTTTTAAGAACAGATCTTGCATGATCATTAGAGGTCAGACTGTAAGTTGGGGATGACTCTCACCTACAACCAAAACAAACTTTAGCTTAATATTTGCTAAATTAACTGAGTTATAGCCATTTTTGTGTTTGCTAAATACGCTTAGCTGTTGAGGCTATCTTGAATTGGACTGACTTCAAAATATATTCATCTGCAAATGTGCATCCAAGCGTTACTTTCTAAAAAATTCATTAAATACGTCCATTGGTTTATGAGATATTTTGCTAACAGGCAGACAGACTTTACAGCAGACAAAGTTTTGAGGACTAATCTTGCTCTATCAGTAAGAACTTAGACTATTAGTTGAGAATGACTCTCAGCTACCATCAAAACAAAGTTTATCTTTTTGTCTGTAAAATTAATAGAATTAGAGCCATCTTTGTGTTTGCTATAGTTGCTTTGCTGTTGTGGCCATCTTTAATCAAAATCACCCAAGAGGTTATTCAGTTGTAGAGGTCCATCCAATCATTACTTCCGGAGAGTTTCGTTGAAATCTGTTCATTGGTTCAAGAGATATTTTGCTAACAGACAGATCTACAACAGTAACAGGCAAAGATTTAATTCCAGATGTCGATCAGTAAGAGGTCAGACTGCAAGTTGAGGATGACTCTCAGTTACTACCAATACAAACTTTAGCTTGACATTTGCTAAATTAATTGAGTTAGAGCCATTTTTGTGTTTGCTGTCGCTTAGCTGGTGTAGCCATTTTGAGTTGGATTGACTCCAAAAGTTATTCAGGTTTAGATAGTGTCCAATCATTTTTTTCCTGAACGTTTCATCAAAATCCGTTCATTGGTTCAATAGATATTTTGCTAACAGGAAGTACAGACGCGCGTAATGGCCCTTTGATTTCCCGGCGGTCGACAAACATCCATCGCGCACTAATTTATCTCCAATTAAACAAAAATAGTTCGCTTTCAGGGAGGAAGTTTTGGGTGATTTCGATGAGAAAAATCCGGAAAGAGCGCGTGAATTAAAGGAGCCGCTCCTCCAACGAGCCTCCTCCAAACTCCGTGGGATTGCCCCTGCGCGTCTTCTCWGCGGACTCTAAATATAAACCGGTGACAAATAGTCCAAATAGCCCACAGCAGCAGCCCAACTGTGATGTGGGGGTGGCGCGCCTCCATCTCCAAAAGTCTCCTCAGTTGGATCCGGAGTGCGTCAGGAGAAGGTCGCAGAGCGCCTCGGCTGTTCTCCCCCACTCCACCCTCCCTCCGCTCCTCTCCGCTGTCCTCTGGGTTACCATGAAGAGACAAAACGCCAGGACCCTCGCCCTCATCGTCAGCATCCTCACCTACCTGGTGGTCGGAGCGGCCGTCTTCCAGACCCTGGAGTCCAAGCAGGAGAAGAGTCACAAGAGGAGGCTGGACGTCAGGAGGCACGAGCTCATGCGCAAATTCAACTTGACCAAAGCGAACTTCGAGGAGCTGGAGCTCGTGGTTTTACAGCTCAAACCTCACAAAGCCGGGGTCCAGTGGAGGTTCGCCGGCTCCTTCTACTTCGCCATCACTGTGATCACGACCATAGGTGAGCAGCGCGCGCTCCATTTACTGCAACGATCAAAACACTCGCTTTTTTTTCTTTGTCTAGTTTGCTTTCTGTGTTCAGAAAACAAAACATTTTTACATTATATTTTTATTTTTTTAAAAGAACTTGGATTTACTTTAAGTCAAATATGTGGCAGCTCATTCCTTAAGAGAGGAAAAGTGTTCATTTTGCATAAAAAATAAAGAAATTAATCAATTAGAAGTCAGGAATAATTATTGCTCTCCACTTTTCAAGTCACAATGTTGAAAAATGACCAAATTAAAGTATGACTAGCTACTACCACATCAAACTTTAACTCAATATCTGTAAAACTGACTGGATTATTGGCTCCAAAAGTTCATCAGCTGTAAATGTTACATCCAGTGATTATTTTCTATAAGTTTCATTAAAATTTGTCCTTTGGTTTATGAGATATTTTGCTAACAGATGCACCAACATGGGAACAAACTTCACACACATTTCACATTTGCCTTTAACCTTTAATAATTGTGTTATTTTTAATCAGGATACACTGTAAAAAATGAAATGTTGGATTTACTTAACCRTGTTATGTGACCTGGTTCCACTTAACTGAGTTGAGTAAATTCAAAGCAATATACCAGTTTTTTAACCAAAGAACATGAGTATGTTGTTTTGAATTTACTCAACTCAGTTAAGTGGAACCAGGTCACATAACATGGTTAAGTAAATCCAACATTTCATTTTTAGAGTGTATGTCAGTTAACCCCCACCAAGGTTGTTTTCTTCCACCGGCGTAATATCACTACAATTAGAAACATYTTGTCCAAAAATGGTGCAGAAAAACTGATCCATGCATTTATCATGTCTTGAMTGGATTACTGTAATTCTTTATTATCTGGGCGTCCAAAAAACTCTTTTAGAAGTTTTCAAATGATCCAAAATGCTGCTGGAGTTTTAATGAGAGTTGAAAGGAGATCATATTTCTCCAGTTTTAGCTTCTCTCCACTGGCTCCCTGTCAAATTCAGAATAGATTTTAAAATATTATCCTAACATACAAAGCTCTTAACAACCAAGCTCCATYATATATTAAACATCTTATTGTTCCGTATTTTCCTAACAGAGCACTTCACTCTCAGACTGCAGGTTTACTTGTGGTTCCTGGAGTTTCTAAAAGTAGAATGGGAGGCAGAGCTTTCAGTTATGAAGCTCCTCTCTTGTGGAACCAACTTCCAGTTTCTGTCCGTGAAGCTGACACTCTGTCTACGTTTGACTGAACTTAAGACTTTAGGCCTACTTTATGATAAATCCTATAGTTAGGCTTAGTTTTTCTGATTTATTCCTTGGTTCTGCTATAGGCTTAAACTGCTGGAGGACAAACTGACCACATTTCCTCACTCTGCTGCTGTCTTTAGTCTCTCTCCACATGTCGGTTGTTGTAATTACAGTATTTCTATTAATAAAATGCTTTCATTATCTTCCAATAGAAGCTACACCTGGACCAGTCCTTCTTTATTTGTCTCTTCCTGTTATCCCCAAACCCAGCCGGTCGAGGCAGATGGCCGCCTGTCCTGAGCCTGGTTCTGCTGGAGGTTTCTTCCTGTTAACAGGGAGTTTATCCTTCCCACTGTCACCGTATGCTGCTCAGGATGGGATACAGTGATGAAGTGAAGATTTGGCATAACCTGCTGGCTTCATTAGACATCTTTTATTAATTGGCATTTTATAATGTTTTCATACAGTGGCCTGGGATGACTAGTGTTGTATATTGGCGCTATGTAAATAAACAGAATTAATAAATTAATTGTATTTTGATGGTAGGTGATCACAGCATGAAGAGTCAGATATTCTGCCTTTAGTTCTCCTGAAGCAGTGCCAGTCATTACAGCTAAACTCACAGAACTTATCCACTCATTTACATAGATTATTATTATT